TTGCCGTGGTCGGGATTGGCGGCACCATGAGTTGACGTTGTGCGTGGGGGCCGCCGGGTGGCACGCGGCGGGCCTCACGGCGAGCGACCCACCCCTGTGGCCAAGCTCCAGCCAGCTGGGCGACCTTCTCCCTGTGTGTGATTCCGACCATTTTCGCCCTTCGCTCGTGCGCGGCCGCAATGGCAGCTTCCCCCTGACCGGGCCGTCGCCCACCGACTCGTGGGAGGGCCCAACAGCGTGCGCTGCGGCGGTGGTGCGCTGCTTGTTCACGCGGACATCGCCGCCCAAGGCCGACGCTCCGCTCACGGCCAACTCCGACGGTCCGGCACCCAGCTTCGGCGGCTCTGCGCCGGACTTCGGCGGGAGTGCGGTCGAGGGGCTGGCTTGCGCGGGCGACGGCGGACTCGAGCCGCCAAAGTAGCGTCGAGCGGACGAGTAGGACGCGTTCAGACGTTGGGATAAGTCACGGGCGTGCGCCCGCGCCTTCTCACCACTTCGTCCGCCACCAACAAGCGCATCTGCGACCACAGATGCCCGTCTTCCTCCGATACTCCGCCCCGCCCCCGGTTGCCCCGTTCGCGCGTTGCTGCCCACCACCGCCAGGCTCGCCCGGAGCACCTCCGCGGCATGCGCGCCGAGCGGCGCGGGCAGACGCGCGCCAGGGCCGTGCCTCAGCGCCGAATCGCCCACGCGGAGGCCGTTCTTGCCGCCCAGCGCAGCGCGCACCTTCGCGGACCGCAACGCCGTCAGGCCAGCCACTACATGAAGCCGATCAACTTCGAACCGCTGGTCCATTCGCCTTCGAACCTCTTGGCTAATCCGCCCCCCTACTACCGCTCCCCCCGGCGCTGTCCTTGGACGCCGGTCCCCAACGGGCCCCCCGCATCGCGCCTGGCCGAATCGGCTCACCACGGCGTCCATCTTGGCCAGGCTCGTCCACGAGCCCTGAGACGCCACCAAGGCGTCTCGCGCCCGCAGCGCGGCCTCCACGGCATCCTCGCTGTGGTACTTTCCCACGCTGGCGCCCACTGTGACGCCCGGCGCGGTCGACCACAGGCCCCCGGTCGCAAGCTCGCCGAAGGTGTCGTAATGGCGCCGCGGCTCTGCCACACTGCGGGCCCGTGGCGTTGGACCGTGGGCGCTCTCGGAGATCGGGAAGAAGGACCTGCGGAACGTAGCCGGGTGATCGTTGCGGCCGGCCCAGGAAATTTGTTGGACGGGATTTAAATCTCGGGTGTTGCTTGCAGGCGAGTTGGGAGCCATTGCCGGTGGGTGGGGAGGTGGCTGGTAGAGCCTCTGTGCGCCGCCGCGCCGAGGGGCTTCGATTCTTTCGGCTGCGTCGTGAGCGAGTCGCAGCGGCGCACCGTCGAACTGCCCATGGAGTTGTGCCGCCTGCCCCGCATTCTCGTTTCCCGTCAGACCGTCTCAACGGCTCCGAATAGGACCCAGGCCGCGCAGCCTGGCGCAGCAGCGTCCTCAGGTAACCTCTCTCGCGCGCATGTCTCTGCTCACGTCCAGGAGCCCCGCGCTGCGCAACAACAACGTTGGATGGGGGGGCATTCGCGACGCGCACCCACCTGCGATTTGCAAGCGAGACGTCCGTCATCGTGCTCTCTGCAGGCATGACGGCTCATCGGCCGACCACACAGTGCCCGGGAAGCGCCCTGCTCCGCAGACAGGTCCGTGGAGCGTTGGGCGCTTCGGTCGGGTACCGCCGCACCCCACAAGTCCGAAAGTCGGATGCCTTCCGTTCGCCTCCAGGCGCCTCGTCTCTTGCCGATTGCCGGCAGCCGGCGCCGCCGGTCGGCTCCGACGGCACGACTGGAGGCAGCGGGGTCGAGGGTGCGGACCGGGCGCACGCCATTTCTGTTCTGCGCCGGAGCTCCTCGTCCGTGTAACGGCCACGGCGCCAAAACTTGAGCAGATTTCGTCGGAATTGGGAGTGCTGACGTGTACCACTTCTTGGGAACAATGTACTGGCGGTGTGGTCATTCTGCTGCTTTGTGGGCTTTCTGTCGAGCCCGTGGTCCTCAGCACTGGGTTTTCTCGGCAGTTGGCCTCCTTGCAAACTTCTTCCAGTGGTATTTTTAGCCTTGGTCTCAGTCTTCTTTCTATTCACAGTCATGGTTTTCAGTCTTGTTCTTGGTCGCAGTCACACCAATTGCTTTTCAGTCGGTGTTTCTCTATCTTGGTTTCTTTGGTCCCCGGGGGGGGGAGGCGGCTTCCAAAAATCTGTGGCAGTCAGCAAGGATCGGGCGGGTGACTGGGCGCCCCCTTCCGCCCCAATTGGCCAGTTGGCCTCCGCGCACCCCATCGCCAGCATCCAATCCCAGGCCTGCGTTTCTCCCCGGGCGCCGCGCAAGCCCCCACGCGGCCCCTCCGGCGGGCGCCCGCCGGGCGCCGCACGCGCTACGGTGATGAAGGGCTCCGACAGCGGGGAGCGGCGGGCCGGCGGGCCCGGCGGGCCCGGCCGCGGCCGATGCGCCACCCCGGACTCCGCCACCTCCAACCGCTGCGAGGACGGCCGCGCCAGGGCCCCGTGCAGCGGCGCCCAGCGCGGTGGCAGCAAGCGCCAGCGGCTGTCGCGGTGCGCGGAATCGGGGTCGGCGAGGTCTGACGCAAGCGCCAACGCTGCAAGAAGGGAGGCCGGTGGCGGGGAGGGCCCGTCGCCGTGGCAGGAGCTGCCTTTCGGCGCCCTGCAGATGATAATGGACGAGCTGCTGCGCATGGAGGACGGCGAGGCCTGGGTGAGGGCGCGGAGCCCGAAGGGCGGATCTCTGCAGCCACGCACCCCCGACGGTCGCGCACCACGTGAATCAATTCTCACAACTGGCGGGTTCCGCGTGTGTTCGTGATCAGGTCAGGAGGTGCGGCTGCGTCTGCCGTGGCTGGAGGGGCGTGTCCGCGGAGCTGCTGATGACGGACACCGCGGCGTCCAGGCCGCCAAGGTGGGCCGGAGGGCGCGTGCGCCTGCCTCCGACGTGCTTCCGGTGCGCTTCGCGCCCGGCCCGCTGGAAGCCGCTGCCCGGGGCGGCCCCGTTTCTCCCCATGTGGCCCCGCTACAGGTGCTCGCGCCATAGGACTCGCACTGCGGGCGCGGGGGCGGGGCGCTCGGCAAGGGGTGATTTGGCGGCGGGTTGATCGGCCTTGTCTGCCGCAGGCGACCGCCAGCGCCGCAGGCGTCGCCCAGGGAGGACGGTGGCGCCACGAGCCTGGCTGTGCTCAGGGAAGACGATTCGATGTCGAAGTCCGTCAATGGCGGTGAGCCCGGTCGCGCGCGGGCGCAGGCGTGTGGCCAGGAGGGGTTGTGAGACGGCTCTCGGTCGTGGGGCCGGCGTGACATCCTGCGAGAGGCGCCGCTGAAATGTCATTGCGGAGCGTGCGGTCACCTTCTCCACAGTCCGCGGCGCGTCCCGCTTCTGCTTCCTTTGCGTTTGCCGAGAGGTTTAAAGGGTGGCGTCTTTGGGCTCACCGTGGCCTTGCGTCCCTGAATTTGGTAGCTGACATATATTGGCGGGCCTCCCCTGCAGGTGGCAGCGAGCACCAGTCACCCGCGTTTGCGGGCCAGGCGCCCTGGATCGGAGAGCAAGCGCCCCACCCCCAGGCTGTCCGCATGATTGGAATATCCCTCGATGGGCATGTGACCTCCCTGGCCCTGCGCCACCGGTTCCCCCTGCAGGGAAGGCCCCAAGACCTGCACGGCCAGGAGGGTTGGATGCCTTGGATGGATTTTCGCGAGCAGAGGCTGCTCAGCGCGCAGCAGGTGGACTCCCACCCCTTGGGCAGGAACGTGCGTGCGAGCCACGGCAGGGGCTCAGAGCTCACCCCTCCCTCGCCCCAGAGGGCTGTCGTGGAGGATGTGAACTTGATGAGCGAGTCCGATGCAGAGGGGGGCTGTGGCCTGTCTTCGTTGAGGACGGGAGAGTGTTCAGAGGGGTCGGTGAGGAGCAGGCGTGTGCCACAGGCCACGTGCTGAGGAACCTGCAGGGTTCGTTGCTCCTTAAGGGAGCCTTGCTTGCAGTGTCTCTCTGTCAGTTTCATGTGCGAGCTGAGATGCCCTTCCATGGGTGGAGGGGCTGGGGATGGCGAGAGATGACTGTGTCCTGGCAACACTCAGCGCGGGGCTGCGAGACACTCTGTCACTGGGAGGGTGGCCGTCTCTGTCTGGATGTACCCTCTGTCCACAGCGATGTGCAGACCAGGGCTGCTCAAATGCTGGCAAGGAAGTGTTGTTGGTGGCCACGGACACCTTCAATGATCTGGAGGGGGGGGAATGGGGGGCAGGGGCTGGGGGTGGGGTGCTGGTGGTGGAGGATTTGTGGGACGAGCACTGTGGTCGGAACCAGATGCAGCGCGCTTGCAGCCCTGTGTGCAGTGCGTTTGTCGAATTTCCAATGCCTCTGGACGTGTGTTGTGTGGAGTGGCTTCGCAGGATGGATACACAGTGTGCGGTGCATGAGCGTGATGGAGGGTTGTGGCTACAAAGATGCAGGCGGCTCAAATTTCATGGCAGCCATGGTACTTTGGCATTTTGCAAGTGAAGAAAAAGGAGTGGAGTGTGAACAACCTTGGATGCAACCATGCCTGTGTGTGTCCTTTTGCCCAAGGTGGATGCTTGCACACATGTGGTATGTGCAGATGCGTTTGTGCATTCACATGCACACAGAGTTCTCTGGCTTCCAGTGCCACTGGCGCAAATTTTGTCAGGTTCTATGGACACAGCTTGTGCCATGTTCTGAGAGGCTTGTCACGATGGCCTGACTGTGTGAATGGGCCTGCAGGCCTATGCTCTCAAATGGGTGCATTGAGATGGCTTGAAACAACTCTGTGTGTGCGCACAAACGCTCGGTACACAGCTGGCCAAGGCGGTCGCCCTAATCCCATCAACCAGCCGGGGAGCGCGCGGCCGGCGGTCACCACAGACTGGCCAGTATTGCTCGCGGAGAATCAACATAGCGAAATGCATCTAATGTAATTGGGAAGCCGAGAACGGCAGCTCACTTGTCGATTGGTTTGAAATTCGTTGAAGACCTCCGCGTTTTGTGGGAACCCTCCAGCACCCTGCAGCAAGGGCCAATATCGCTTTGCTGCAGGCAACACCTCGCGAACCCGTTCTCAGCTTTCGCTCACACTCCTTGCTGCCCGCTGCAAAGCCCGCGGGCAAAAACAGGCGAGAACCAAACGGCTTCCTGGCCAGGGAGCCACGGCTTCATGCTGGCTAGATTTCGCCAATTCAGCCCATTAGGCGCCAATCCACCCCCCAGCAGGGTTTCCAATTGCAGCGAGCCCCCGAGCCGCCACAACGCGACCGTGCAGCCGTGCCCTCCGCCCGCCGCGCCCTGGCACGCTGTCGGAGCGCCGCAGCAGACATCGGAACAGCCCGCCTGTCTGATTGTGCGCCAGATCGCGAGCTGCCCGCCAATCGGCGGCCATGTCGAACGTCATCCAGTCCCGCTTCTGGGCGGGCGGCAGCAGTGACGATGCCAGCGACAGCGACTCCGAGGAGTATGAATCCAAGGGCTCGGGCAGCTCCTCAGAGGAGGAAGGGGCCGGGGCGGGCGGCAACAGGATGTTTTTCCTGGACAGCGACACGGACTCGGACGAGGTGCGGCGCGTGGTGCGCAGCGCCAAGGACAAGCGCATCGAGGAGCTGAAGGTCGTGTGCGACGAGATGCGGAACAAGATGAAGATCAACGACTGGACGTCGATCCAGACGGTGTTTGACAAGCTGAACCGGCAGCTGGAGCGCACGCTGAAGGTGACGGCCAAGCCCACGCCGCCACTGGCGTACATCCGGGTCATGGTGGAGCTGGAGGACTTCCTGGAGGAGATGTGGGGCAACAAGGAAGCCAAGAAGAAGATGAGCCCGACCAACCAGAGGGCGCTGAACACCATGCGGCAGAGGCTGGCCAAGCACGTGGTGTACGAGAAGGAGATGGCGGCTTTCAGGGCAGATCCCGTGTCCACGGATGAGGAGGAGGAGGAGGAGCCGGAGTCGTCCAGCTTCGACGAGGACGACGACCTGGAGGCCATAGAGGAGGCGTCCAGGGCACCCAAGAAGAAGGACAAGATCCTGAGCATGGAGCCCAAGGACATCACGCACGAGATGGTGGCGGAGAAGCTGTCTGAGATCCTGCAGTCCAGGGGCAAGCGGGGGACGGACCGGCAAGAGCAGGTGGAGATGCTGACCTACCTGGCCACCGTGGCCAAGGGCCCGGCGCAGGTGGTGCAGGTGCTGTCGCACCTGGTGTCGTCCCTCTTCGACTTGAACCCCAGCATGGCGTCACACATGAAGGTGAGAGACGGAACAGACAAGGGTTGCAAGCTGAAGAATGATGATCGAATTGTGGCCTTCAGCTTGCTATGCAGCCCCAATGGTAGCGTTTGTCACGTCTGACGCCTTTTTCTTGAGCTCTTTCTGCCATACACTCCTTGTGTCTTTCTGGTGTGCAGTGTCACCAAGCATAGGTTGCCTGGACATGTTGTGGCAATTCGTGTCCCAAACATGTACACAACGTAGCCCCAAGTGAGATCCCACTGTTTTCTGCGTATGCTGTCACCTTTTCACCCTACACCATGTTCGTCAATGCTTGCATGTCCCCTCACATTCTTCACTGAGGAGATTGCCTTGTTCTTGTGACTGCACTCTTGATTACAACGTTCAGATGGGACAGTGCAAAGCCCTTGTACCAAGTTTGGTGATGGCAGCAATACTGTGGGTGCTGATTCGCGTGGATTGTTTCTTGTGCAGGTGTCACAATGGAAAAGTTGCACGAGCTACATGCTGCAGATGCTGGAGATCCTTAGTGACAATCCCAATATCAAGCTGGAGGAGGATGCTGAGCAAGTGCCAGAGTCAGCAGAGGAGCCAGAGGAGGGTGCTGAGGTGAAGGTGTGGTGCAGCTTGGTGGCCTTCATAGAGCGCCTGGATGATGAGTTGTTCAAGAGTCTGCAGGTGAGTTTTGTAGTTCTTTTCAATTCAAAAATAATACCTTCACCATGGCTGATATTCACATTCCACAATCGCGCCGTTTTCAGAATGTGGTGCTACTGATGGGGTGATAGCGGATGCAAAGAACACCGTGAGAAGGTTGAAAAGAGAGTATGGTCACTTTGTTCCACAGGAATCACACTGCTGCTAAAATGGTTGTGCCTGGCACAAGAACATTACCAGTGCTGTTCATGCTGCTTTCAGTGTCAGCAATCGTTTATGGCATGTGCAAATCTGGTCAATGCACCGCTTCAGGAGTGACAGAGACCTACCCTTGCACCTTCAAACATTCGGATTTTGATTTCCATAAACCTGGCTGTTAGCCAGAATCCGAAACTATATCGTCCAATCATGTGCCGATCCTTTAATATACCCACAAGTGAAAAACCCCAGCCCTTGCACCTGGATGCCGATGCTCAACGTGAATCAGCACATGGGTTGCCAGAAATGCGATTTATCCACAAGCTCTAAAACCCAAGTCCTGCAGGTGATCGATCCCCACACGCACGAGTACCTGGAGCGTCTCAAGGACGAGCCCTTCTTCCTGGCACTGGCCCAGCGCGTGTCAGAGTACCTGACAAGCAAGGAGGACTTCAAGGGGCTGCCACGTGTGGCCCTCCGGCTTGTTGAACACTACTACTACAAGGTCGACAGTGTGTATAATGCTATGAGGAAACTTACCCTGGAGCAACAACAGGCCGCGGAAGAGGCTGCGGAAGAGGGTGGGGAAGAGGGCGGGGAGGAAGAGGAGGGGGCGGCAGACACCAAACCCATCCTCAAGGTGCCTGCCAACTTCACCATGGATGAGGACGCCCACAACGCACTGCAGGTGCTCGTGGCCTCCGTATTCAAGCATGGCGACGAGCGTGCCAAGGCTCGGGCCATGCTGTGCAGCATCTTCCACAAGTGCATCCACGAGGATTTCTACACCGCACGGGACTGGATGCTGATGAGCCACCTGCAGGATAACGTGCAGCTGATGGACATCTCCACGCAGATACTGTACAACAGGACAATCGCCCAGATGGGCCTGTGCGCTTTCAGGGCGGGTCTGATCCCGGAGGCACATGCCTGCGTGGGTGAGCTGTACTCAAGTGGGCGTGTGAAGGAGCTGCTGGCACAGGGCATGACGATGAGCAGGTAGCTGTGCCCATGGATTAGATTGCACCCACTGATTCCAGAACCGATTCTTTGTCACTCTGTGGAAATGGCCTTGTGCACTGGAGGCATGATTTGTTGCAACAAGTTCTGTGGACTACTTCGTTCAGGATGTTGTGTGCAGTTGGCCCAGCGCTAGATTTGCTATGGATTTGCTATTTGCCAGGCGCGATTGCTGAGAGCCATTGTTGAAGTACTGCTGATCCTCAAACTTGGGTGCACGTTATGGCACCCTGGCTGTCAGTTGTCCTGGAACAGTGCAGTGCAGGGTCATCCTCAGTAGCGCTGTGTGGATGGCGCATATGACATGAACCGGATCATAGCAACCCATTTGTTTGTTAAAATACCAGTCAGAACACATGGTACGTTTCCCATGAGATGTTATTTGATCCGTTATTTGTGCTGCAACGAGGTTTGCACCCTTTCGAACTCTGATTCTAAATGTCTACGTTGAGACGTCTGCCTGTAGGGCAAAGATTGGGTTGTGCCAGGTTACAGCATCCTGAATTGGGAACAGCTGGCTGATATTGAATGCTGGTTAAATTTCTGTTGGAATTTGAGTAATCAGTAGAAGATGTGGTAGGATATTTTGTGTCACATGGAAATGGTTTTCTACATATTGCAGAAGTTTACACAAGTAGTCTGGTACTACACAATCATCTTGTTCCTGCACTTTGTTGTTGTTTCAATTGTTCGGCAACAAGCAACAGAAACAAAGTGAAAGACATTGCTGCAGTTCCCACTGCCCTGCATCAGCACTTTATGAGAAGCAAGCACTCAGAAATAGATGCCCCAGCTGCAGCATCTGCAGAGGTCTGTCTTTACAAATTCATTGGTCTCATGAATTGGGGCTGAAATGTCTAGCACTACGGGAGATCTCAGTCTGTGCATGCAGCTGTTTTGTTATCCATGCTGTGAAGTGGCACTGTGCTATATTTGGAACCTGCACCAGGATGTTGTGCACACATGCATCCCTTAAACGCTCAAGCCGTAGTCCACTCAATCTCAGTCTCAGAGTCAAATTCTGATGCGTGTGTGCCACTGAAGTGAATGCCACTTGTGCGGCAGGTATCAGGAGAAGACTCCCGAGCAGGAGAAACTGGAGCGCCGCCGCCAGATGCCCTTCCACATGCATATCAACCTTGAGCTGCTGGAGAGCGTGCACCTCATATCAGCCATGCTGCTGGAGGCCCCCAACCTGGCGGCCAACCCCCTGGACGCGCCCCGCCGCACCAGCAGCAAGCCCTTCATCAGCTGGCTTCTGAACAATTACCAGAGCCACACCTACCTTGGGCCCCCTGAGAACGTGAAGGACCACGTGGTGGCCGCCACCAGGGCCCTGCTCACCGGCGACTGGCGCAACTCGTACAAGTACATCTGCGCCCTGCCGTGCTGGTCCCTGATGCCCAAGCAGGCGGAGGTACTGGAGATGCTGAAGGGCAAGCTGCAGGAGGAGGGCCTGCGCACATACCTGTTCGCCTACGCCTCCCAGTACAGCTCCCTCAGCCTGGACCAGCTGTGCACCATGTTCGAGCTGAACCCCCAAAAGGTGGGCTCTATCTCGAGCCGCATGATCATCAACGACGAGATCCACGGCGCCTGGGACCAGCCCACCTCCACGATCGTGATGCACAACATTGAGGCCACCAAGCTGCAGAGCGCTGCCGTGCAGTTCAGCGACAAGGTGAGCATGCTGCTGGAGATGAACGAGAGGGCGCTGAGGGCGATCCGAACAGGGAACATCCATGAGGCCGACGACGATGGCGGCCACGCCCCCAGGAGGCGGGGCGGCTGGGACGACCACGGCCGGGCCGACCGGCACCGCGGCAACAAGGCCCGGATGGGCTCTGGCCGGGGCGGAGGCCTCCCGGGGGTCAGGGGATGGGGAAGGGGGGGTTATGGGGGCCAACGGGGGAGCCGGTTTGGGGAGGGAGGTGGATACGACAGAGGTTTCCAGGCGGGGTTCCGCCAGCAGCCGCAGCAGCCGCCCTCGCAGCAGTCCCAGCAGCAGCAGCAGCCCTCCATGTCCTCCCTTGGCAGCTTGCGGGGGCGGCAGCAGCCGAGGAGGGTACCTGCGGTGTGATTGTTGGGAAGTGTGGAATTGGCTCATGAGCATCTGGTTGGTTTGGCTTGGGAATGCACAAGCGTGGGACCTGCTGGCAGTGGAGGAGAAGGCAAGGGTGCAGGCGGTTGCTGCAGAGCCAGCTGGGAGCTGTCGATGGAGCCAATTGCAGGGTCAGCAGGGGGAATCAGTGCGACACTGGTTGTTGGCTCTGTTTTGTACCATGTTCATTCAAGTTGTCCAATGGGGTTCTGTTCAGCGTTTCTGGAAAGGACCGCCACCGGTGCCTGGTGCACGGTTTGCAGCAAGTCCTATGTGCTGGGCTATGTTACTACCTGTTGGGATTCCCCCAAGGGGACGCCACCAGTGTGTGCAGACGCCCCACATGGCCCTGTGCAATGGTCCCTTGGTCGAAAAGCAGAGCAAGTTCATGAAAGTCCTCTGAGAATGGCACTTGCGTCAGGGCGACGCTTAGGTGGCACACGCTCTTCTGCCGTTTGTTGCAACAGAACAACCTTTTGTGCCAGCAAGAGATCGTCCAGGCCCTCAGGATCAACCACCGGTTGCAGCGACACGCCCCTCCTCACACGGGAACACAGTCCAAAGGTTGTCAAGGGCCTGTGATTCGCCAATACTGCCACAAGTCCGACTGTTTTCACGGCGCCAGGTCTGGGCTCTGGGCTGGGTAAAGTGCCCAGTCAGGGCAGCCATCGAGAGCAGTTCGACTGCCTGCAATGGCGGCACCAGCACCAATACGTGCATCACTGCCCCCTGGGAGGCCCTTCCAGCGCACGGTTTTACACAGGGCCCGTTCATTACAACGCCTGACCACCCTCCTTTCGCAATTTGATTATTTTGTTATTGCGCTTCTGTCAAGGCCAACGGAACAGCAGCTTGCTTCGCCTTGGCCGCGGCTGGCTGCCCTGGTGGCACGCCGGGCGGCTGCCCCCAGCCAGGAGCAATGCAGCCGTGCCTGGTCAGAGTGTCTGCCCCCGCCCTGCCTTGGCCCACTGGCCGAGCATCGCCCGGTGGCGATCGCAAGGCCGAGGGCAGCAGAACCATCGTGGACACGGGCCCACGAGCCCCCTCCCCCCCCCCCCACCCCCACCACCAAGCCACACACAAGAACCACCCCACCAAATAACATATCCAACACACATTTCTTGAGTTCTTTCAGCATTATCTTTCATCTTTCGGCAACGGACATTCTGCCAGGCTTTAGGAAGCAGGAATCCCCCCACAGGAATATCTTGTCCCCCCATGGCGCCAGCGACTAACCCAGGCACCACATCCCCTATCGATCCAAGTCGCCTCACAAGCGACAGGGAAACAAATTCAGCGAAGTGCATAAATCCCCAAGTCTCCGCGGCCCGTTGCTCTCACGGCCCACTCCAAGGATCTCAGCAACTGCCTTCCCCGGCAGATCGACAAAGTGCACACACGAATCCCCGAAATCCCGGAAAAAAATGCAACGAAAAGACAACAACCTGCTCCATGCAAATAGCTGGGCTAAAAAAACAATGGAAACGAACACGGAAGGCCTACGCCCTGGGAGGGCTCCAGAAGACAAGGTAGAGCCCTCGCACCCCAAGGGTACGCCGGCGGCGCGATTTCTTCTCATGAATCCAAACAATCCACCAAACTTTGAGCGCACCATCTGGCAAGACAAGCGCGCGACGAGCCCTCGAATATTCAGAGGCCGAATTATCAACCCAAATCAATCCCCGTTGCAATCAATTGTTATGCCCCTTTCGCCTGCTGTGGGCACGGCGGCGCCGACCAATGGTGTCATTCCCATGGCAAGGCAGCACCAATAAAGAAAAACGCAGTCGCAGCAGCCACGGCAACTGCCAATCCACCGGTCGCCGTGCATCCACCGATGCAATGCACCAGAACGCTGCCCCCGCCAGTGGGCACGCACACGCAGCAGCTGCAGCAGCAGCAGGTCCAATTTTAGGGTTGCCTCCCGCCTAGCTGCTCGCGAAACCCCCACGGTGAAGACCGGACCAGAGCGTCTTGATACGCCCCTCAGGGCCCACATCCTCCCAACGCGGGCCCTGGCTGGGGCGGATCCAGTCACACGGCCTTTCCACGTGCCTTGTGACCCTTCCTGCTAACCACATTGGGGTTTCGCAGGGGACGGGCGTATGATATGTTGAGACAGTTGGTGGTCTCCTCCTCGAGGTCCATGGGGTAGCCCTGCAGCTGCTGCTTGGCGTAGGCAGCCTCCTGCGGGGTGCTGAAGTCCACGAAGCCGTACACTTGCATCGACTTGCCGTTCTCCCGCTCCTTTATCACCACCCTCGAGCCCTACAGCATCGAGCCAACTGGCAGCTGAGATGGACACAGTGCGGCCCAACACATTTCTGGCAAGCGTGAGGTGGTGACAGACGGGTTGGGACTTTCTCTCCTCTGAGGTGCCGTTGCACAGACAACATTGTTGTGAAGCATACCTGAGGCTTGTTTTCACTGGGCTACAAACGACGCGGCCATTGGTGTCGAAGCACAGAGTTATGTATACTGACTGATTGGCAGGGAGACCAACATCCACACCAGCCAGAGGCAAACTGACTTCTGCATTTGTGCCAATGGGCGTTGTTTGCTTATCCAACGTACTCAGTGACTTCCAAAATACCTTCTACTATTGAGACACAGTTCAAAATATGCGTGAATGGGACAAGGATGCCCAGCGCCTTGCTAAGACCAAGTCCATGCAGGGAGCAAGCTGACCAGGAACTTCAGCTTTGAGACTGATTTCTTATATGGTATTCAGATTCTGACGTGTTCACGTAGTCAGACAAGGGGTACCCAATTCTTTGAAAGCTATTTTGAGGGCTGCTTAACTTCTTGGTGAAGATGGCATGCGAAATCCACTGTGACAACAATTGCCATATTATGGGACAGCGACACCCACAGGTTTATGCTCAGTGCAGTGCCAAAGACCCACATGAAGCAACTGGCTTGTGAATGCGGCAGCTGCCACATGTCCCTTCTGCAAAGTGACCATAATGCGCAATATCTCACATTTGCATTACCCCAGGGCTGCCCTCCTTCAAAACGAGAGCCAGTTATGCTGAAACACATGTGCATAGCATTGACCATGGAAATGGCCTTTGCCACCTGCCATGAATTTCTTGTTAGTTTTGGAACCTGCAATCGCCCACTTCTGGCCTGTACAGAAGTGTCCTGAGCAAATTTTCACCATGTAGGTGACGATGGTGCTGGGTGCACTGACGATAGCGCAGAAGTCCACCGTTGCAACGTCCAAGGGCTTCACCCCATACCTAAAGCGCATCCCTCCATCATACCCTACCCCATACCCAAAGCGCATCCCTCCATCATACCCTACCCAAGGTTACCTCAAGCACCCATCACAGTGGTCAGGCATGTTTGCCCTATGCAACACTGCCGACCTTCAATATTCTGTCTCCTGGGAGCTGTGGGATTGGAGTACCCAGCACAATGGGGAGACACACGGGTGGCAAGCAGACAAATGAGCAGTTGCAGGACATAGATATGCTCTTGGATGTAAAGTGCCCTTCATCGCCTACCAGGTGCACAGGGATCACCCAGTGTCGTTGAAGCCAATTTCAACGGACTAGAACACAATGGCAGCATGCAACCAGAATAACCATCTCCAGCACAGCATCCCCTTGGGATAAGTTGGATGGGCAAAATCCACCCTGGTGGATGACAGCTTTTAGAGTTCATCCGGACAGACAATTCCAAACGATAGACAACGTTGCAGCTATCCACTCTGACCAAAACCTTGACCATTATGAAAGAGCCATCGCCCCACATCAGTGATATTGCCCACCTTGTAGCCATCGTAGGGCCGGAAGACATGGGCAAACTCACGCCTTGATATGTCAGCAGGTATGCCATCGACGTACAACGTGGAGGCAGCGTCTGGCGGCAGCATGATGTCTTCCTTTCCAATCCCAACGCTAGCATCCGACTGGACCATCCCCATTTGTCCCAGCCTCAGGCCCGATGGCCCAGACAGCATGCTCCTTCCCAGGCTTGCGGACTGCTGCATCGCTACCTGTTGTGCAGCCGACAGGCGTTGCTGCTGCTGCTGCTGCTGTTGCTGCCGCTGCTGCTGCTGCTGCTGTGCGATGGCTGCATTGACGACGTTCACTGCGTTGGCCTGTGCGATCTGCTGCTGCAGCATGGCGCCCTGTGTGTGCAGAACAGTTCTCGTACAGTCACCAGCATTGCCCAGCTTGGGGAAACAAGTGCAAGCACACGGAACGTCCTACACGAAGTGCAGCGTGCATAACAGATGATGAAAGCAAAACAGATGCACACTCCATTGACAAAGTGGAAACTATGCTTGGAATGCCATGAGGCAACATCAGCAGATGCCAACACATGAGACAGCAATCGAGGCGAATTACCCTTCAGCGTTGGCGATATAGTCTATCGCACAGTAACGAGGCATTTCAAGCCAGCTGCCCCCCAGTTGGCCAAGTGTGCATAACAAAGATGGCCGAGACAAATGCCATGTGAGGCTGGGCCTCCGTGTCAGCGGCCGCCCTCACCCGCCGCACCTGACCAGAAACCCCCAGGACATCAGTCAAAGGCCCGCTCCCCAACATGCCCAACCCGCCCAGCACTCCCACGTTGGGGGCGCCACCCCTCTGGAAACTGAGCCCGGGCATCATCCCCATCTGGCCCCCCTGATCGCCCTTCCTGATTGAGGCCAAGGGCGAGGTGGCAGCCCCGCCGTCCCCCAGGTGCATGCCACCAAGCCCCCCCCCGAGGCCGTACTGCAGGCCAGCAGTGGCCAGGCCCTGCAGACCGCTGCCGATGCCCACACCCATCCCCAAGGGGCTGTCCAAGTTGGCAAGGCCGGGGCTGGTCACGGGGCTCGCGACGTTCGACATCCGATACCCTGCTCAGAAAAGGAACAAGCGATGTTGATGGAATTGCACCAGGCATCGCCACAGAGGCACAATGACTGTGCATGGCATAGTCCGGCGCATGTATCAAATTGATAGCGCATCTTACTTGGAGTGTAAACACAGCAAAATGGCAACCCTCAATGGCACATCACTTACACCCTTGTGCTTGAGAAGTTTGTCCTGCATGTGGGAGTGCCAGTTCCCCTTGAAAGCTGCACTTTCCTGAAGTGGAAATACTGCAGATTCACCAGCATGACAGTGAGACACATTGCTGTGTAGCGTCTGACCACCATGCAATCTGCTGAACAGCTACACCACCAGCGATTCTTTGAACAACTCATACACCTTGTACTCTTTGGGCTCTAGGCTGTGAAGTAGACAGCCCACCCTGGATGGGCAAACAAATGGCAGACACAGTTGGCACCAGAGCCAGATGGTGAAACAGCTGCGCCTTGAAACACAAATGGGAGAGGCCAGTACCAAGCGGCCTCTTTAAATTGCTGGAAATGGCAGCTCAATCCAGAACCACTAGCACTGCAAGTTTCATGCCTACAAGCACAACTGACCATTGCCATGCTACACCCTCTATACGTTGAACTCACACATACGTGGTCATTATGGGCAAATGTGACAACCAGGGAGCAAACAGTGGTGAGATGTATTCTATGTCAGATTCTGTGGCGGCAACAAGCTGTTGGCGTTCTCTGCAATAGCTTAAAAGTTGCTACAGATCCACTGACGTCCAACTTAGGTTGCATTGCTGGAATCGGTGCAACTTTTCAGCAGGAACACTGCCAAACGTTTGACACTGCCTGAAGCCAGCACCCACCTTGCAACAGACCACCCCCAGGAGAGCCCTGCAGCGAGGAAAGGGACACTCCTTGGACACCACTGTGACTGCTGGGACTGCCAGCATTAAAGCTCGAAGCCCCTCCCAAACCGCTGCCTGTTGGGTGCAAAACAATACCATACCTCAGTGTCAGCACCTCGCATATGTTGGCAGACCCGATCAAAGGAATGAAGATGGTCCAAAACCACCTCGTGCAGTGCACCAGAACAACGAAACTTTTCTCTCAACTGCGTTTTGCCCACCAGAATCCGCTCAAACAGATGCGGAAAGGCTGACAGGTATCAGCTGTGTGCATGCATCCACCCACACACCCACCCACATCGACACACCTTGGAGTAAGGAACTTGCGCCGGCATCCAGCTGACTGGGCACGACAGCGGCCTGATCACCTGCCGACAGATCGACTCAGTCAGAGCTGCGCTCTCGGCTGTGACATCCATGGCAGAAATGGGGCGCCCTCCACCCACAGTTCGCGCCCACGGTCCATCGTGAGCAGCGCACAAGACGCCCACATGCGACTCACCCTGTTGCATAAAGTGACCACCCTGTGGAACACCCCGCTGCATTCCTGGGACTCCGGCCTGCAGGCACGCGCAATCGTCAGAGGAGGTGCACAGAAGCAGCGCTGCCAGCCGCACTCCAATCAGGAAGATGGGACGGTCACAGAACGCGCGGCCGCCTCGGTTGCTCTCCGAGCGGGCAGGCCTGATATGCGCTGCGCGTTGTGCGCAGCGTGATTGGTCCACGAGCGCAGACAAGGGCTTCAGACCCCGGAGGCCTGCTGCCAGTTTTCCGGAGATTGCAAAGATGCGGGCCAGGCGCCTGCAGGGCCCAATTCCTGAAGGGGAGCCCAAACCGTTGGCTGCCTGGAACCATCGCCGGCCCACACGCCCGGCCTGTCGTCAACAGGCTCAGGCGGCGGGAGCGTCGGTTGCGGCGCTGACTCGGAAGTATTGCGCAAAACGCAGAGCGCCGCGCGCCGAGCAGCGAAAGGCCCACCGGGTGGATTGGCGGCCGCGCCCTGCCGCACGCGGACGGCGGCCGCGGCGGTGGCGGGCAGGAGGAGGCGGGACAGGGCGCAGGGGCGGTTGATGGCCCCGGGCGTCACGAACTCCAGCGCAGCGCCGCGCATCAGTTGCCATTCCCGGGGGGTTGACGCGCGGATGCGGAGACATCGGCGGTCGTGCGCCACACCCGGCGAACATGCCGCAAGCAGTACGGCACGAGACAGGGCCGCCGACACACCGCTCCGCACTCTGATGCCCGCATTCGCGGCCGGCCGGAGCGACAGCGGCTGCGATGCAGGGTGGCCGGGCGAACGCTGAGGCCCGGCACCGCAGTCGGCGTTGGAGGTTCGAGTCTCACCGCTTCCGTCACTTTCCGGCCGGCCTTCGATGATCCCGGCCTCGTCCCGGCCTGACACTTCGTTCGTACGGCGAGCGGGAGCGACTCGACGGGCCTCGCGATCGAATCAGCTCTCAAACGGCGTTTTGGGCACTTTCACTGGCAGGATAGGGGCTGGGGGGGAGGGGCGGCGGCCGTGGCGGGGCGGCGGGCGGCGCCTGGGGGGCGCGGTGGCGCGGCGACAAGGCGGGGGATGCGGGTGCTGCTGCGGCCGACGCGGTGGCGCGGCGACAAGGCGGGGGATGCGGGTGCTGCTGCGGCCGACGGCAATCAGGGGAGATATTTTTGTGCGGACGCGTCGGCGGTGCGTGGCGCGCGGAGTCATGGCCAGGCGTCGTTAGGGCCCCGGGGCCCGCGCCGTCCAAGGGCCGGGCAGGGACGGAGGGACAGTCATGCATCCGGCGGTGGGACCGAAGTCGGTTGAGGACCGTAGGTGGCTTGGAGGGTGTCCGCGGCTTGGTGGGCCGCCGGCCAGCATCCTTGCGGTTTCGGGGAACGCGCACGTGTGGGGCGCGTTTCCGGCTCTTGAGACGGAAGGGGGCCTAGGAGCGCTGCTGTTGGGAGGGTAGCAGCACGGGAGGCGGCCCACCAGCCCTGCGCCGGCTGCGCGATTGCGTTCCGGCTCACGGCGGCGTCTGGGGAAATCGCCGATTGGCGTTGCCGACAGAGAGATCACGGTGGGTGCGAGGGGGCGGGGCGGGGAAAAATCGCCGGAAGGGAACGACGGCGGAGACTGGTATCGGACGGCGCGCCGGGTACAGTGCGTGCGCCAAGTTGTGGGCGCTGTTGAGGGGAAAGTGGCATGCAAGGCGCGTGGCGGAACGGTGTGCGCCGTGGCGCTGGGTGGCAGCGCTCAGCGCCTGGCGCCGTCGCCGGTTGCCGGGTTTCGGTGTCCTTCAGGAGCGGAAAGGGACGGGCGGGGACAGGGAGGGGGATAGGTGGCGTCCGCGGTGTGGACGTCCAACCAGCTGGGTCGTCCGCCGTGGCACACTGGGCACTAAGTCGGACGTGCCGCTCCGCAGCGCTGATGCCGAGCAGAACTGCAACTGCCGACGGCCATAGAACGCCTCGAGAAGCGCCCGCATTGCCCCGGGTTCCTGCACCTCGCTATTTCAAAGCTGCCGAGCGGGGAGCCGCGTGGGGCACAGTTCGGGAACGGAGGGGGGCCATCGCCAGCAGTGGTGTGGTGCGATGACTGCTGCGCGTGCGACGGTCGCTCAATAAGACACACGCCCGTCGCGCCGCGCTCTATCCTTCCTCTTACTGGCCTCATGAATCGCCGTCAAGCAGGACAATTTGTCCCCTGCAACGGGACGGACGATTTTCCCCTGGGGATTATACCGTTGTGCTCACCACAAAGGCTTCTCCGATCGGGCTCTGCCCTGGCATTTCGGAGCCTGCCTCCCACCCCACGCGGTGGGCAGCCCTGTTGCCCGCGTCCGCATTCGCCGGAGTATTCTTTGGGCATCCACATCCGGCACTCCGTCCACGCGAATCAAGCAAAGCAAGCGCTTGGACACCGACGCGCAGGCATCAATCCGCCCAAGCACCGCCATTGGTGTAGGCCACCTTGGCGCGACGCCTCTGCAGGCAACTCGGTCACGGCACAAAGAGTTCTGGAAGCCACGAGCACGCTGAGGTCCCGGCACGCTTAAACACGTGTGGACCGCCCACGACGTCGGCGGAGAGCGAGCTGGAGCGCGTACGGCACTTGTACCCGATGCCCACCAGAAGGAACAAGACGCCCTACAATATGTCTGGCATCGTCACGACTCGCACACTCATTCATGTCACTTTAAGAATCCATTCTTGATACAAGCGAGCTGCCCTTGTCAGCACCCAATCAAGCAAGAAAGGATTCTTGTCGAGGTCGCGGCTGTTGGATCCCACTGCCCTCGAGAAATTGCACCAACGTTTGCAATTAAAGAATGATGATAATGCAATTAAATGATAATGCAATTAAAGAATGATGAGAATCAGCCATCGCAATTAAATTAGGATGATGGTATTGCAATTAAAGAATGATGAGAATCAGACATCGGATTGTTCAGTAACATGCACAAGAAGTACTACAACCAAACACTCCGTCACTGCATCAACCAACTGGGTAGTGGGGTGTGTTCATTTGTCGAGGTGAGCCAGTGATGCAGCGAGGTGCTCAGGAGCTTCATACTCCAGACAGAACTCGGGATGATTATGATATCTTGGATGGGGTGCTGATGAGCTGTACATCTAAAAACAAAAGGCCTTGAACAAACCGCTGATTTGCGAACTGGACATCGTCCAGAATGCCAAAACTGGAAAAACAACTCTCAACAATGTACCCAAAATTTGCGGTTTGAATGGCCGTCTATCGGATTCTCAGGAGTCGAATACACCGGGGAAATGTACAAAAGAGGACGCACGTTTGTTCTCACATTCGCTGTCACAACCGTCCCCATTTTTCTTTGTTCCTACATTTGCGCCTTGCACCATTTCAAATTCAATATTCGAACTGGTGCAAACACACACAATACATGACATTGTCCGCTATATAGGCTCCTATGTGATTCTGAATTACGCATAGGTGCACGTGTTCCCATGGACATTTGTTGTGTAGTCCCAATCTTCGCTTGTTAAGATTGCGGTTGATGTGGTGGCAGCCAAGCAACGCAGCCCTCCAAACCTGGAGCGGATCCCCGCAGAAGACAATCGATCCTGTCTACGATTCCAGTCCCTCCAAGTCTACACACCTATGTGTCTGCCCCTAAAGTCTTTGCTTCGGTGGGTCCAAGTCGGAGAGTACCCTTGTGTGGAGCAGCCGATTGTGGAATAAAAAGCTCCTACACATCGCCAGAATCGCAAGTAGGACCACGTAGAGGGACAGAATTTGCATCCACCCCGCTTTTAGGATGCCGATGGTGCGAACCCTTCCACATACAAGGCACAACGACCACCTCAGTCAGCAGACATCCGTAAATCTATTACTTCCTCCGTCCCATATTAAATGTCCTCTATGACTTTGACACGTTACATCCCAATTACATATTCTTTATTTCTCGATGAAAATTTGTCCAAGTTGTGCCTACGTTTTCAGAATATACGTTCAAAATTTCACGTCAATCCGTTAAGTATTGACGATTTGTCAGTACTTTGTAGTAAGGGTCCTCTAGTCAAAAACCCACCCGTTTTTAAACGATTCCGCGAAAATGGCGGTTTCTGTTGTTTTGAGGAGCATGCTTTCGCGGCAACGAAACAGTGCCGCCCATGCAAAATATCCATGCTGCTCGTATATAAGATTGGCGTGGGGCTTGTAAGGAAGCGCGACAATAGGAAATGCGCTCTGAAGGCTCTGATCGTGCAATTCGCCATAGCTCACAACTGAAATTCAGTGCCGCCCTGGAGTCCAGACCGCCTAGTGGACCGGAGCTCCCCTCCAGCCATAAATTTTTGGGGCCAAGACTTTTCGTCCTCTGTTGGTGCCATTAAGACGATGGAGAGTGATTCCAAATCCCCTTTGATTAGGTGATAGAGAAGACAAAGCACAACACCGCATTTAGCAACAACCGATTGTGGAAATTGTTGTCGACATGAGAATGGCAAAATTGGCTTTGCCGTGGAATTTCGAACGGCTAGATACAAAGAGAATTGTTAGGTGGCTAACACCGTGTCTCTTTCATGAGGGCAAACGAGACAGGTGGTGATGGATTGTGGACCGCACAAAAGAGGTGGTTGCTAATGGCAATTCATGGATCGTGTGCCAAACTGCGTGTGAAGGCCTCGATCCAAAGATCAATCGAGGCAAGTTTTCCATGCAAAAGCCACCCAAATACCTTGGAGTGGTAGAGCACACAGAGCCTATGTTTGAACATCCTAGATCTTGGCCTATCCCGCTGGTTGCATGCCCTTGCATCTTGGATCTAAGGTTGCGGCAATTTCCGGCGTCATCGACGTTGTGAAAATGGCCTTTTGCCACGACGATCCAAACAACGTTGAACGTGTTTTGACCAGTGCTACTCCATGCGAGTGGCGTCGCCTTTTGCCGTGGCAGTGGCAAAGGCATTCCCTTGGCTGCCCGGGATGGGAGCGACCCCAGAACCGTGCGGATCTCCATCGGAAATGGAATCGGTGGGCACATTTTTTTTCGAATCCAAGGGCAATTTCGAGGGTGCCCTTCAATGGGTGAGACTGACCTTTCTTCCTCGACAATTGGTAGTTAAGGGCTTGGGGACCCAATCTTTCTGGTTCTGATTTTGTTTTGCACTTTTGAGGCCTTTCTTGTAACGAATTTTGTCTTTCAAATGGAGGACACTGAATATGGGATGGAGGAAGTAGTTAACAACACGTCACGACAATGTATGCAGTGGTCGGGTGCCAATCCCCGCCGAATGAACTGTTGGCATCGTTTGCAACTTGCCATTTAGCGAAATTGCGGGTGGATGCTGCGGGATACGAACTTCCCAAGATTTGGCACTGTTCTCTGCACTCATTTCACAGGGACTACGGATCACACATCGAAGGATACGTTGCAATCTGCAGCCTAGGCGTATGCGCACGCATCACGGCAAGGAGGCTGGTGGGAGGGACGAGTGGTATCCGCCGCTGCACCAATCCACCTGCCTCCCAAGTGAGCATGTTCGTCCGTGTTGATTTGCGCTGAAGGGCGGTCGATGAAATGTGGGAATGTCGCTGCAAAGGTAAATGCTAGAACTCGTGGTGCTCGGTGCTGAATGTGGCAGGTACAATTTCGCGCGCCAGTAGCAGCGTTCAAATGCCGCAACTGGAAATGCACCTCACCTCAGCAGTAGCTTTTGGCCGTATGGGATGCGGATTTTGATGATGGCCCTGAACTCTTGCGTTGATCCGCTCTGATCGGCAGCCAACAATTTGCTCAAACAGGGCCATGCTCTTCAATGTTTGCTGCGCTAACTCCCAAGGCATGGGCTGCTCAAATGAGATTGCTTTCATTGCACCGCAGAGGCACCTAGTGGATGGTGCTGCGTGACGTTAAGGATCCCACACGCGCCAACGCAACAGATATGCCAGTTGTGAAAACAGATGGGAGTTACCGACTGTCCAAAATTACCGAATCGTACTTGGTGGCGACGATACTGGTGCCGCAGTATACCGCGTAGGATCCTGTGCAGTACGTGAATTCAGACTTCACTGCTACGTGACGTTTGCTGGCAAAGCAATCACAGCCAAGGTGCGTGCACAATGTGGGCACTCGAGGCGGCCCTCATGTCACGAGCTTGTTACCTTCCACACAGGCTCATAGTTGTATTTCGTTGTCTCGTTCCTGTCTAAATAGGTAGATATCAGGGTCTCCAGTGCCAAACCCTCTTCGGCCTGCGCAAGGGATGCACCCCAATGGACAGCCGCATTATGCAGTCACCTCAATTTCATCTACGCCCACATCAATGCGTTCTGTCTTCGCTGTCCAGACTTTTCCAACAAGCATTTTCTCAAGCGGAGGGTGTGGCTCACAGACATCCAGTAGCGATCAGCTCCGAAATGGGCATTTCACAAAAGCAGTTAAATTTGAGTGTTGTTTGTGAGATGGCCATCTGCAGGCATCAGGGAAATACTGTGTTCTGGCGTGTCCCTGATATCGCCTTGCTTGGCCGTTGACGTTTCCCGCCAGCACGGTAAATAATTCCATTCCAAGTCGGGCCTGTGCGCAGGTGCATGCGCCTCGTGAAGGGGCGATGAGGTGATTATGTTCTATCAAGCAGCCTCCCCGGTGGAGCGCCAGGGACGGTGCACATTACCTGAAAAACGGTGTTGTTGATGCCACGCTCCCGCAGAAGGGGTTCGCTGTACACCATAGATATGGAGTCCTCGAGAAGTGGATTCTTTTGCAACAGTTGAAGCTGGTAGGGACAGGCACGGCTCAGCGCACAAGTCACTCCATTGACTCGATTTGATGCAAATAATCAAATACCTCCCCAGGCGTCTGCAAAGCGCCCAGGGCGCCGCGGTTGGGAATCAATAATGGGCGTTCAGGCCGCCGCGTGACGTAGCAGGGGCAGCAAAGGCTCCAGGACTGGCAGATTGATGCGCATCGAAGGGCGAGAGTGGTAGCCATCGCAAGATGTGTTCTGTTGCCTTCAATGCTTGTGTAACTCCGAAATGTGGAAAACCTTCTCACCCCCCTTCGCTGTGGCATTTGGATGGCGCACAGTGCATCACACGAGCAGCGCCCCCGATGCCAATCAGTAACGCCAATAACAGCCTTGCGCTGCTGTGGGAGGGGCCGGAGACCGCGTATCTCACCTCGCCGTCTGTGAACAAAGAGAAGCCAGGAACCGGGGAGGAGTGGTGCACGTACGCGAGGGAGCTCATGCGCAGCCTGACGGCATTCTGGGCGCAAAGGATGGACGAGGCGTCAGGACTCTTCACCGGATTATCCGAAACGCGCAGTCGCATTCCAGCCTCGGCCTCCACATTGGACGGTGCATGCTTGGGATGCGCGCATACCAACCTGCAAATTGTGATGATGAGCAAATGCGTGCCCTGTCGGTGGGAATCAGTTCGGGTCGTCTGGCACCACGGGCTCACCATTGGGGCGCAGGTGGAATGCAGGTGCACAGGGAAACCACGTGACGGGTGTGCGGCTGCAAGCCGACCCCGGACTGCTGCGAGCTGCACGAACAGTATGGTTGCAGGACCGACGTGTTGCACACACCTCCAAGCGATAATCGAACTGGAGAAGCAGCTTCAGGGAGTGCACATCGCCGACGCCTTTGGCCAGCAAGTCGACTGTGATCTGATCGGTGATCCCGTCGAAGTTGTTGTCGTGCTCCGAAGCCTTGAACAGCAAGCTTTTATGTCAATGACATGATCTTGAGCAAACAGCAAACTGTCCATTGTTCTGGATGGCCAGGTGGGGACAGCGTTGTGCCGCATTCATCGTATTGCCAGCGGGTCCTAATCCTCCAGGCCCCGCACAGGCTTGGCCCAGAGAAAGAGCATCTAAGTTCTGCCCTCGCAGTTTGCTTGTGTGTTTTGTTGATTCGGTCACATTCCAAACTTACAACACAATAGCCGCAAACTTTCAAGGAGAGGGTTGTGGACTTTCAACCACCTCAAAACAAAGTACGGAATATCATCTTCGCATGTCCAGACACAAATGAATTTGACCTTATGGTTTCAGGCTGCAGAGTCACAGATTTGTGTGCCACAGAGCCATTGATCATTTGTGACGTGTATGACTAATGGTACAACAGTCTTCTGGACAAGTCAACGTCCAAGTTGCAGCTTGCATCGTCTACAAGGAAGGACAAAACAATTCTAACAAGGAAGTTAAGTCTTCCATGCTTGTAATACGTTGTTGACTGAAACCAACCACCCACTGCTTTGGTGGAGGCTTTCACCAAAGTACGCAACAGATTGTTTGGGTTGTGGTCAAATATAGTTTACATTCCACTCCGCACAGTTACATTTTCTAGAGCTTTGGGCTATTGCAACATGCTTGCAGATACGAATAACTGTTGCTACACTGGTGTCCAACGCCAGACAACCTCAGAAAGAAGTCTTATACCATGGAGTTCTCCTGCCAGTAAAGAGTGTGTTGCATGCACAGCACAGTTGATCAGACTCCATGTTACCCGGAATGGGGGGTGGAAACAACGTCATTTCCTGTTTGCTTTTGGACCCCTCTGTGACGTGGTCACTTTCTGCACCCAGGCTGGCACAAATATCCAAGCTGAGAAACAACAAAGAGACAAGCCAAGGGCTTTACCTGCATATGAGCGGCCACAAGTTTCGAGCCCAATGTACTCCTGATCCCAGGGAATGAACTCCACACCTTTTCGCTGCCAGCTGTGCTCCCCTGTGGAGCAATGCAATTAGCAGCTATGCAAGCAGCACTCTGGCCATTGGCAGCTATCCCAGTGAGCAGAGGGGGCCCAGAGCCATCCATACATGGTGGCCTTCACAGTCTCACATCAAGTCACCAGGTCATTTCCTCCTTTGGAAAGTGGATTCCCGGTTTGTGTTGTTGCACACCTGGTTAGTTTGGCTTGCCAAGGAGTGGACACTGGGGAAGTGCCAGAAAGATCGCAAAAGGTCCCTACATCACTCTGTTGCTACAACCTAGCTGTGAGGCTCACCATCACTTGTCTTCTCTCAAGGATGTGGCCAGGGGCCATTCCAGAACACCGGCACAACATCAGCAATTGTCACAATATTCGAGTCAAGAGGATGATCTCCAAGTGCTCCAGGCCCATGGCCCCAAAACGCACTCTTTATACCTCTGCACGGCTCGTGCAGATTCTTTCATGAGATCATTGTGGGCAGCCTTTTGCAGTCTAAAAAGGTCACAGTCCTGGTGCCTGGTGGCAATGAATCTTTTGCGATGTTGGCTGTGCAATGCAGATGTCCACCAGGAACTCTGTGTTGCTATGTTGAAATTGCTGGCTCTTGCTGTGTGGTTGGAATGGGGTAACCAATCCTGTAATCCCACAACCCACAAAATGCACATGCCCACGATCATGAACATGCCGTGTTCCTTTTTCCCGCTTTGCAGCACTGGCCATGTTACAAGAAGGACAAAGGAGTAAGCATCCATGGAGTATATCAACATATGGAGCCTCATGAGGGCATGCTCTCTTTGTGGTGTAAATTGCATGGTGTTGTGTGTTGTCACCCTGCCTTGGGGGACTGTACATAAAACGCCACAGCACTGAGTGGTGTCTTACCAACTTATACTCAGGCAGACGTTCCCAATGATGGACATGTTGCTCCTTTTCTCTTAACATGGAGTGTTTGCATCTCTGGCTTGGATGTTGACCAGGGAATGGGTGATATGATGGACAAAATCGGTTGCCTGACAGACCTGTTATTCTGTAGTACTGCTATACTGTTATGCTGCCTGACCTGCAGGATTCAGCTATTTCCTGTCGAGCACGAGCAGAAACCAACAGCCACAATGCATCTGGCAACGAATGCCAGAAGAGTTTGCCCAGAATGTCAATCCTGGACAGCATAGCTCCTCTTGATCCCTCTCCCTTGCATTTATGGGACTCTGTCTCTGTTTCTGTCTGTGTCTGGAGGTCTTTGTTTCTTCTCCAGCACTGCCAATGGTGTCAGGTCGACGGTGCCAGGCCCATTCAGGGAGTGAGACAAGTTGGGGACATATTGGAGACTGAATTGCACTGTTAGAGCCGCATTGCTGTGTCCGCTAAACCTCCAAACAATCTGCCTGCCAATTCTCACAGTCAAAATTGGCGCCTGCCTCGTGCCAACAAAGGAATCATACTGGCCGAATCCGCGAAGCTCGGCGATTGCCCATCCCCTCCCCATCAAAACCCGCGACAGACGCCAAAACATCGCCGTTCCCCCGGCCCCCAAAGCTGCCGCATCAGCCATCAACACCGCCGCCGAGCGCCGCTCATCTCCATCACTGACAGCATACGACGTGTATGACCTGTATGATTTGCTCGACCTGTTATATCCTGGAGTGCAACAAGTCTCACTTACCTCCATCACGAGCAGCGCGTCATACGCGAAAGCCACCCGCGGCTGCTCCACGCGCGTCCTGGTCGCGTCCCAAAGGCCCCCGCTCGCGTGGGCCAGCAGGCACGCCAGGGCCAGCGCGGCGGCGTGGCCACCCACGAGCACCGCATTGGCCGCGGACAGCCGCCGGGCATGGTGCCGCCTGCAGTACGCCTCGCAGTAGACCTGTGGGGCGGCCGCTTCGCTAAAATCTTTTGCTTGAAGAATCGCGCTTCGTCAAAGTCCTTTGCTCTAAATGCTTCCAAGCACGTCCAACGCAAATTGCCTTCGAGAGATAGAGCGTCGCCCCCGCGCCTTGCAGGCGATGGCTGCCACCTCGCGTGCGGAAGGGTGGCTCGATATTGTCCGTGGTGTTCGGGCGCGCTGGGCAAAGATGCGCGCTTTGAACCGATCCTTGGGTGCCGCGCAGCGGGAGCGTCCGCGGCGGTTCGTGGCGCCTGACCTGAACCATTACCGGGTCAGCGCGGCCCCGACCGCCGCCGGAGCGACGCCTCCCCTCGCGGCGGTTGCCAGACGCCAACGGGAGCCCAGCCTCTTGGGGGCTCGGAACCTGGTAGGAAAGGGCAGGAGTGAAGCAAATGTGCGGTGTGACCGGTTACTAATTGTGGTCTGGCGACCGTGAACGGTATTTTTGCGCCGGTGGGAAAATGAGCGTTCTTGCGACAATGTCGCTTTGTTCTGGCGAAGTCGAGAGAGGTGTTTGCTCTGAGACGGTGGCACAGTTGTCCTATTTTGTTGCCACAGTTGCTGTTCGCTCATGACTATAGTGTGGCTTATGTGTGAGAAAGTCTATCAGAAAATGTGGTGCGTTGCCATAGTGGCTCATTCTCCGGCCAGAAATACCAAAAGCCACTGAATATTTCCCCCGGTCGAACTATATTACTGGTATTACTGGCCAAATGCTATCAACATCAGTCGATTTTGTGCGACAGGAGGAAAAAGGTTCATTGTCGCAAGTTGACATACACTGCAGTGTGGCGCTGCGGACAGAGGCAAATTATGCCAAAACTTGACTACCATCGGACGCCTATCCGTCCTTTCAATTGCTCATCGAAGACATGGTATCTAACGGTGTATCTTTGTTCTGACAGACATCCTATGACGGTCTCATGTTGCAGTGGAGGATTGAACAAACATTGAGAGTTCAATAACAGCAGTCGAAGCCTTAGGGAAGACACTATGTCGAATTTGGTATGCTTAGCGTCAATTTGACGCTGGGGGGGGGGCGGACCTGTGACGCTAAGTGATTATGTAACTGACACAAAATCGACATAAGGTGGTAAGACATACAAAAACACTGCTAACCAGCGCCAAACAGCCCGCCGCTTGTTCCAAAACCTCCATCAACCATTCAATCTTGAATGAAGCCGCAAGAATACCTCAATAGGCAGCCATCAAGGCAGCTCCAATCAACCGCAGTGGCCTTTATCATCCCGTTTTCCAGCCCAATATAATCTTCGCAATTTTTGCTTCTTTTGTTTCATAAAAACACCTTGATGTTGCCCAGCGTCGTTATGTAATGTTGTTGAGTCATCCTGGCGTTGACATAAGGATTGATGCTAAGGAGGGGGGGGGGATGGCATTACAAAGTAACGAGGCGAAACCCCTCCTTTTCCACCAATATTTCAAGCACTATGGGAGGGAGCCTGGGGACAACAGGGTTTTTTGTTGGTCCACAGATCGTGCTCAGTATTCACCAGCGGTGTTCAAGCTAAGCAGACCCACAGGATACTCACCAGAAGATACAACAGCAAACGAAATCAAATGGAAAACCCCAGAAAGCGAGAAACATCAGGAAAAATGCAAATGAGCTGGGGAAGGGGAGGGGCTGAGCTTGGCGTGAAATCGACGCTAATCGCACCAAGATCGACATACCAGTAGTAGCCTCTTCCCTTATTATGGGGCCCAGCCACCGGCTTGCTCCCGGTTGGCCCGCAGATTCATTTGTGTGCAAATGCATGTTTAGCTGTACAAAGAAGGGGAACCGCCGTGCATGAACTCCGTGGACGCCGCCAACAGCAGGCCCCTGCGTGCGGGTGGTGGAACCAGGCAGTGCGAGAGCCACTGCACTCTAGGGACACGGACAACACATATGATTCGTGCCAAAAGAACGGACATGTGCAGTTGCAAGCACCTGCGGTAGGATGAAGCCGGTACCTCATCATGGGCTGACAGGCAGCCCTTGGTTGTGCTTTCGGCAGATGCAGACAGTGGTGTGTATTTCCAAGACGAACCCCCATCACCTTGTGGTGTTCCCACTTGGTGCACCGAGCCAAAAGTAGCCCTCAGGGAACCTGCAGATGCCGCTGCTGCAGACGACTTGTGCAATTTGGATGCAGCAGGTGTATCTGACACCCCGCTCACTGTGACTGTGCCAGGACTGAAAAGCAGTCCTCAAGTCCACACACAGCAGAGGAGGCATTCGCGACACTGCTGGCCTACACCTTGTGCCGGTGTAGGTCTGCAGGCAAGGGTGGTTACAGTTGACAATTCCAGGCACAGGGCCACCCTTTCCTCGCATTCTACAGTCTCGCTGAAGCGCATTGTTCATATGAATCACTCGTCTCCCAGCAAGGGTTCGTCCTCAGTCCGCAACATCAATATCCAATATCAATCCGCAATAATAGAAGTGAGCATCAAAACTGCGAACCACCGGCGCGTGTCCCAAGCCCTTGTTCAGTGCAATACAATTTCGTCCAGGGCAAGTGCCCCTCGTGCTCAAATTAAAAAAAAAACAATCCCGCACTAGCCACACTACACCGACAACCCACGCACAGATTGACGTTACGAGATAATATTAGGGGGACTGTCACTCACACTGCAATCAGCACACGACACAGAGCAACAACACCTTGCCAATGCAGTAACACACGAGTCCCAGAGGGCTCACCGCTGTCCCGTAGTTTGTGAACCCGATGGGCGGTGACCACGGACACCGAGGCGCTGCGCGGCTGTGCCAGGAGCGTGCCTGGTGAGGCCCGATGCAGCTGCGCCTGGCCTCACAAGTCCAGACCGCTTGGCAGGAGCGCCTGGGCCTTTCTGCAGCCCCCCCTTGGCCACCCCCTGGCCCTGTTCTTCACCCAAAACCGGCCTGCGTCCCACCATGTGCGCCCTCTCCCTGCCTGCCGCCGCAGTCATGGGAGCCAAGTTGAGGTTGGGGATGCGTGAGCGAGCTTTCGCACTGCTGGCAATCCTGTCCTGCAGCAGGGGGGGCGAGGTGGCCGACCTGTGGGGCACGGCAAAGAGTGGGGCAGGCCTTGGTCCAGCGCCAGGCTGATCACCACTCACAGCCCCCTCCTGACGTGCACTCTGGTATCGGCTGAACTTTGACGGCGGAGGGAGGCCCCTGGATGGGCCAGGTATCTTTGCAATGCTGGCGTTTGCTCGCATGGGCGGTGCAAGGGACCCCTTTGGGAAATCCCCCAAAGAGGTGGGGTCTGAGGAAGCACTCGCATATGAACCAGGCACAGCTCCTGGTCTGCCATCAACCCCTGAACTCCCTTGGCTGCCAGCTTTCTCCTCAGCTGGGTGGGCGTTGGGAAGGCCAAGCGCACCTGGGTCACCCTCTGGTGGTGCACCTGAGAATTGGGGAGAGGATACATCTGCTGGTGCATCCCCTGGTGCATCCACGTCACGTGCTTGAACTTGTCGCTTTCTTGCCTCACGATCTGGGGTGGGAGGTTGATGGATGATGGCCTCGCCCACCAAGTCAGGTTCCTCCCGCTGCAATTGCCATTCAGAATTGTTAACATCATGCCCACTGTCTCTTGCACCCGTACCATCCCAACAAGCCACAGTCTGGGGCACATCCTCAGCTCCCTCTGTGGTGCCAGTTGGCACTTCTGTAGTGATCTCCCTGTTCTCAACCGCATCATCAACGTACGAATCCACAGCACCATTCTCCCCTGCGCAATCAACGTCGGATGGTCCATTCTGGAGTGCATCGGTTGCATCTTGTCTACCATCAACCGGCTCCCCTGCTATGTCCCCCAATTTCACTGTGTCATCTAATTTTTCTGCCCCTGCACTGCAGAAAGCCTCATTCGCGTCCACGCGGCCGATGGCTTTGACATCATTGCCTTCACATTCAATACAAGCCCCGGTGGTGAGGCCCATACTGGCATTCAGCAAGCTATCATCAATGCCACCACTGCATTGTCCTGAGTTCTGCCCATCGCTCGCCACACCACTGTCGGCCTCTGTGCTCTCGTTGTTGTCACTTTGCTGGACACTGGCACGATCATCCAAGGGCTGTTCGCAAACCGGGGGCTGCAGTGCCCCCACATGCAGGCTTGGCTGAGAGTCGTGCAGAACCTCCTCCAGTTCACCAGCATTATAAGAGAAATCAGCAATAGTTGTGGCAGGCGGTTCATGTACACCATCACTTCTGATCGGACTCTCTGGACCTGCTGAATCGGCTTGGCCAGCTGGGGCTGCATGCACCACAGACTCACCAGCATCTATCAGGCCTGCCATTCCTCCTACCACGATCGCCTCTGGAGCAATGTGCTGGTCACCACCGCTCTCAGAGCAAACCAGGCCACCAGCATCTATCTTGCATGCTATTTCTCCCACAGCCTTCACCTGTGGGGCGCTGTCCTGGTCACAGCCACTCTCAGGACAAACAGGCTCACCAGCATCCATCTGGCAAGCTGCTTCTCCTATAGCCATTGTCTCTGGAGCACTGCCCTGGTCAGGGCCACTCTCAGAGCAGCTGCTGACTGATTCAGGCCCGTCGCCACAAACAATGTCCTCACATGCATGGCTCGCTAGGCCTGTGCACACATCGTTCTCTGCCACTGGCACCTCCCCTTGCACCCCCGCCTCCTGCACAATACGCTCCTCTGCAGTGCAACCTCCCAGCATGGCCATGTCCCGGTCCATGTCTGTGCTTTCGCTGGCGTGCAGACTTTCAAGTGGGCCGTGAACCTCAGTGGCATCGGTCAGCAGCGGTGGGTTTGACTGGCAGCCGGGGGCTTGAGGGATGCCCATGATCCGCCGCACTTCACCACTGTAGACCCCAATCATGGGGTCCTGCTCCAGCCCAGCCAAAGGAGAGCTGCTTTGATTCGTAGGCTCATTGATCGAGGAATGCTCCCGAGAGCGCAGCACCAGCGGGCTGGGTACAGCTGGTGCATCCATGGCACCAACAGGTGGGTTCAAGGAGTGGTCCACTACAGCACCCGAGGATCGACGGGAGGCAGCATGATCGTCGGCTGGTCCTCTGGTGGAAGCCTGGCTTCCCTTGGAGGCATGCTCAGCAACCAGTGCCTGCAGTCGCAGCCTGGCCTCTGTTACTTGTTGCAGAGGGTCGGACACAGGTTCAGGGGGGGGGCTGGTAGCAACCTGGTGGCACCACAGCCTGTCATCTGCCGGGTGCACCAGCGCACTGGCCTCAAGCCTGTATCGGCCAAGCTCTGGTCTTGGGGAATGCACAGGGGAGGGCCGGCGCCCAACAGCAAGTTGTGGTTGGGGGTGGTGCAGAATGAGGGGGCCTGGTGACTGACCCCTCACACGATGGGCAGCTGAAGCAGCAGTGCGGCCATTGGACTCCATTAGGTTCTTCTCCCGAACCAGGACAGCTGTGCACGTCATGCTGTATGGCATCATCGGGTCGTTTGGGTTGAGGTGCACCCTTGAGCTGACGTCCTGAGGCACAGCACATTTGGATTTCAGAAGGACTGGTACACCGTGCTGGATAGGCATGGATAGACTTTAGGCTGCAGGTCACAGCCAGAGCTGTGCAGTATCGAGCAGTTGTTGCAGAACCAGGGAGCGCAACTGGGGTTCAAGATAAATGGGTGCATGCAGTTCCAACACTGTTTGTGCCCGACAAAATACAGTGTGACTGTCTGCAACACAACACAACGCCCTCTGCCAAGGAAACAAAAGGTTGCATAGCAAACACTGCAGCTTGCAGGTACTGACTTGCACAGCCACCAACACCTCAACCCCACTTACCCTTACTCTGAACCCATCCTGGCCTTTCTGCAGAATCTGATAGTTGACACGCATTGTCAGGTCACGTAACCCTTCCTGCAGAACGTATAGTGCCAAGTCAGCCATACCCACAGGTGACTCTCCTTCCATTCCACCTGCTTTCATTCACCCTGGGCACTAGGATAGAATACTACTATGGTGCATTGATCAAAATGACCAAAAAGCACCAGAAGAACTACGAGAAAGTCAGATGCTTTGAGACTGGGGTGAATGGGCACTATTCCTCAATATCTGGACAGAAACGTAAACTGCCAAATGCCAGTCAATCAGCTGACTGGATCCAATCAGAGCATCTTTTGGGTCCAAGGCTTACCTCTGTAAATTGGCAGTGGGGACTGCTTATGGCGCTGTATGCAATGTCCAGCTCCACACGGGGTAGTGGATCGATGCTCTCATGGCCAGTATGAATGTCTGTCTCAGTATCACTCCGGTCTTTGGCATCCATCATCTCCTGATTACAGCAGTGAAAGGTCGCCGTCAAACGACGATATTTGGACTTGACAAAAGAACAGTTCAGAGCAACCTAAAAGGCCCCTGGTTGGGGTGAGAAGGACACATCCTGTTCAGGTACTCACCAGGGAATTCGAATCGCAGCAATAGCAAAAGCAGAATACTCAATGCACAGCTCCAACTCTCTAATAGAATGGGCTAGTCAGACACAGTGGTCTTCCCCCATCCAGTGCACTGAATGGCAGGAAATTCACCTGAGGAATTCACAACATCACAGTATGCCAATTCTGGTAAGGTGATAAACTGCTAATTGGATTTCAATTCCTCAACTTCTTGATCACTGATGAAGTCCATGCTCCCATGAAGTGGTGGCATTGAAAAGCAAGGGGCAATTGCCGATGCTTTCATCACTGTCAATCCAGCAATGCCTTGAAGCCGTTCCTCCATTTCGTGTGCCTTGTCTGCACCACTGGATGCTCACATGTATGCTGTGCTGACGACTGCCGCTTCTGTCGGTCCAGTGTTTTGTCAGGTTGAGTTAATGCCACAGTAACATCAAGACAGAACAACAAGAGTGCAAAAACAAGCCATGAGCTCCCGAGCAGCCGCCCATTTTTGGGCCCATTGCTTATTGACAGGTGCGTGTCTTTGGCACCCACCTCTTTTCTCTTGTTCAGTCTGGAAACAAGTGCAGGCAGGCGATAGAACTCCGCCTCTCTGAGTAGGGCCTTCAACGTGTCCAGGTCGTCGGGCAGCTGAAACGTGTCCGGCTCCCTGTGGCACTGGCCCCGCAGGTGCTCCAGGATGTAGCCGAACAGCTGCGCGAAAACCACGGCGCGGCCTCAGTGTGCGGCGCAGACTTTGAAAGCGCAACCCAGCACTGCAGTCACAGCGGGTGGCGCTGCGTACATGGACAGCCACCGGCCCTTGAAGCGCCCGGCAGGCGACGACCACGCCAAACCGTGGCACGCGACACACCACTGCAATCGAACAACAACAAACATCCCCCCCCCAAATAATATCCAATCAGTCGTCCACGCACCATGCCGCTACGCAGTTGCGCCCATCCGTGCTACCCTGCCCGCGCCGCGGCGATTAGAAACGGGCGCCACCCAGTGGCCCCACCGCAATCCCGTGAATTTCAATTTGGATTCTAGCTGGCCCGCACCTCTCCGTTCCTGTCGACGAAGATGTCCCCTCCCCGCGTGCGCGCGGGCTCCCACAGCCCATTCAGCATGAGCGAGAAGTAGGACGACTCGACGGCCTTGAGGGTGGCCACGGTGGTCGTGTACTTCACCCCGCCCACATTGACCACCATCGCGGCATCTGCCTCCTGGCTGGGCGTGCGGGCCAGGCCGTGCCCGTGCCCGCTGTTCAGCTTCGAGCTATCCTTGCTGCGCGCCAGGTCACCGGGGTTAGAGGGCCGATCGCCGATCAGACGGCAGCGCCCGCGAGGGCACCCATTGACGGGAATTGTCGATGCAGGGAAAAATAAGTGGGCGCTGAGAATGGCGGCAATGGTATCCGGTCCTGTTCGGAGCGGTGCGCAGCGAGGAGCCGCGGACGCCCGCCGAGTGCCGGAGGGAGATCGCGCGACCAGGTAGAAAATATGCGAGATCGTCGCGGAGCGCAAGCGTGGCGAATGGCCCACGGGCAGGGGGCCCAAGTCCCAGATGGGCATCCACCCCACACTTGATTCCCAAATCTCGCCACAGCACGGCGCGGCATTTGCCGATCACCCCGCAGATCCAGCCGGGAAGGCTCCCAGGGGGGCCCAGCCCGCTGGCCGGCCGGCCTTCCATCGCCGCCCGGAAACAAAATCGCCGATCCCGCTGACTCGGTCCGGCGGCCCCGGGGCGCCCCGCGCAACGCACCTCGTCGTCGAGCACGAATCTGTGCCCTCGCGGTGGCCCCGCGATGCTCCGCGCGGCGATCTCAGGGCCACCACCTTTGCCCTCAGCTGCTCGATCAACTCCGCGTCCGACATGTGCACCGCCCTCAAGGCGCGCGGTGGCGCCGGGGATATGCGCCCGCCTCTCCTCGCGCCGCCTCTCCCGCACCGCTGCCGCCGCCCGTGCCGCCCTGCAGCCCCCCGCTGCCGTCAATACCCCCGGTGCGTAAATAAGCCGGGCGACGGCAAACCCACGTTTGGGCCCTTGTGAGGGCGCGGGGCAATTGGTAAAGGTGCCGGCCGGCGACGGGTGGGGAGCGGGGCCGCCCTGACACGTCAGAGTGTGGGCCGCCGTGAGAAGGCCTAAATTGCAATGTCAACGAACTTGTGTCGTGTTCGCCTGTTCAATTCGCCCCGGACAAGGGGCTGCTGGCCAATTAGCCCACGAGGGCGAGCGGACAACGCCGACCCATTTCAACATTAATGCTGGGATGTTTTCCATCCTCGGGGAAGAAATCACAAAACCGAAACTTCCATGTTGCTATAAATTCAAACCAGATGTTCCTGTCACAAAGTGTTGCTCGGGTCACCAATAATGAGCCCATCATGGTTCAATAATGTGCCCATCAATTGCGACAAGCTAGTGCCCCGTGAGGCCCAGAATACCACGGCGTGGGACTCCAGTACGGGGGAGCCTTGCCCCGTGGACAGAGAATCGTATGAGCAAAGAGGCCTGTAGGACAGTATCGGCCTTCGAACTATGGCAACGGGGACCCAGAATGGGCGGCACCATCAGAGACACGCTCTCGTAACCCTGTCCAACTAAGCATCCTAAACGTGGAAGCTCATTCCAAGCAACAATGTCACAAGAGCCTCTGCAACAACTCCGGAGAAGGCTTGTCCCCGCAACGTAGCGAGGGTGTTGCGGCCCATCGGTAGCCGCTGGTTTCCGGAGGCTCTGGGGTCGCCCTGCCCTGCAGCATAGCCGTTGGAGGTCGGCTGGCCTCTCCATCTCGGATGGTGGGCGTAATCGGGGCAGTCGATTAGGCGATCGCGCGGTGGGCCCAATGCTCGACGGGGATCAATCCCCGGAGCCTGCTGTCGGCGAGAGGTGGCGGCGCAGCGAGGCAGTGGTTTGCTGGCTCGCGGGAGGCCAGAGAGTGGGCCAAAAATGTTACAATGATTCACTGCATGCGCGCGCACATATCGCATGTGCAATGCCCGATCGCGGGTCCATTATGGTCACATCAAGACAAGACAACACAGTGCGCGTCAAGGCACATCGTCACCGTCCACCGTTCACCTACGATCTACCTAATGTCCTCTAATTCCAAGCATCTAACACCCGACCCCCTGGCCCTAAGTACTACGACTTCAGGAGGCCATATCTTCGCCGTTTCTTAACGGAATCGGGTATTTAAAAGCTCGTTGGAACCAAGAAGCTCTAAAAAACACCCACAAAAAGGCCATTTAGCCAATTACATAATTCCCACTTTAGAAAACGTCAATAACTGCCTAACCCCAAGGATCCACGTCACAGAGGGCCAATCCCTCCGTGTTACGTATAGGATGTGGGTGTGGGGTTCCTGCCCTCTTTGAGCCGCGGACCCGCCTCGCCGGGCACCTAGGTCCTTACAGGGCACCTAGGCGGGACCACCCCTCCTACTCCCGTATCATAATATGGATAAAGGTTACATTGGGTGAGGAATAGTACGTGCCTTGGGCAGGGCGTCCCCCACACCAAGGGCCATTAGTAGGACGTCTCCCACATCAGGCTGGTGCGCGTAACATTCGTCCCCCTCAGGGAGAGGGGCGTCCTCATCCCAATATAAGTGAATACGGGAGCAGAAACATTGTATGTATGTTGGTGGAACTGGCTGTGCGATTTGCCACATGCCCAGTTAACAAAACACAACACACAAAACAATTTTGGATGAAGAGAAAGAGTGGTTGTTTTACATGACCGTCCCGGCCTTGACAACCCTCATTAAAACTCTTCCTCAGCCAAGTGGCTGGAAATGTTTGACCTCCCGGCCTTTCATCGGCGACCACGATGCCGAGTACCACCAAAAGCCCACGCCGGTACAGATCGGCCCGGTGCGGCACCCCGCCGTCGCCCACGTCTGCGTGCACGCCCAGGCGCACGGGGAAATGGCACGTAGGGGTCGGCGGTGTCCAACCTCTCCCCGTTGAGGATCGCGACGGACATGGCGTTCATGTGTCCAAACTGCGACCTTGCACGGGGGGCAGTATACCCAGTGTTTTTCTGGGCCCAGCGCAAGAGAACCTGTCAAAAGCATAAGCACACATGAGCATGTTTCGGTATGTACATCCCGTACTTCATGCAGTTTGCATTCGCATCACAGGTGTTCTGCCATTTTCAAATACTTGAACCAATTCCTGTGCATTTGCAACTGACTTTGCTGATTCCCAGCTGTTATGCTCATGTCCATATCCCAGCCATTTGACAAGGTACTCAACATAGTTTTTGCGTCTCCCACGCTTTTTAATCCTTTTATCAAGGATACGTTCAACTTCATACTCGAGTTCACCTTCGATCTCGATAGGTACTGGGGGTGGCTGTACTCTGCCACTTGCCTTATAAGGCTTAATCTTTGATACATGAAATACTGGATGTATCCTATGCATGCTTTCCGGGAGTTCTAGTCGATATGCGACAGAACCTATCCGGTCGAGGATGGTGAAGGGCCCAATCCACCTCGGTAATAGTTTTCGAGTCCCAGGGTGTTTGAGAGTAATATGCTGTGTCGAAAGGAGGACGTCATCTCCTTTACTAATCGACACCTCTCTTCGATGGCGGTCAGCATGCTTTGACTGCCTATCTCGTGCTTTCTCTAAGCACGCCCTGGCCTCTTTCAGCGCTGATTGGACACGGTGATCAAATCGTGTCACTGCTGGTAATCCCTCCACGAGGGGCGTACCAGATTGCCTCAAATAAGGCTGCTGCGCCCTTTCAATGGCCACTGCCAAGCCGCGGGCATTCGGATTGTCATAGCCCTTTAATGGCTTCCGAATTTGCACACCAAGAGCTAAGGGACTCTTTGGGTGCCTCCCGTAATTCCGATAGAACGGGGTTTCTTGGGTGGAACTGTTTTTCGAGTTGTTCATTGCAAACTCGGCCATGGCTAACAGTTCATCCCACGCGTCATGGTCAGAACGCGTATAACTGCGTAAGTAATCCTCCAGAACCCGATTCATGACTTCGGTCTGGCCATCCGTCTGTGGATGGTACGCAGTGCTCATGTTGAGTTGGATCTTCCACCTCTCGGCCAGGTACCGGTAAAACCTGGAAGTGAACCGAACGTCTCTGTCGGACACTATCTGAGAGGGGAGGCCGTGGTGCCTTATCACATTCTGCACCAACAGGTCAGCTGCTCCTTCTGCGGAGAGCTCGGTGGTCGTAGCTGCGCGGCGGACCATTTTGGTCAGTCTATCGACGAACACGACGATAGCATCATGACCTCCCTTAGTTTTTGGCAGTTGTGTAATGAAGTCCATGGACAACTCTGTCAATGGCTCCTCAGGAATGCCCAGTGGCTGTAATAAGCCTGGGGTCTTATGACGAGGGTACTTAACCTGTTGACAAACCAGGCAAGTATCGACGTACTGGTGTACTTCTCGTCGCATTCCTGGCCACCAGTAATGCCGCTGGACCAAGTCCAGGGTCTTGGCTTGACCAAAGTGCCCTGCACTTGGATGGTCATGAGCCAACTGGCAGATCTCAGTCCGCAGACTGGGCAACTCAGGGATATACACCTGAGTGCCTCGCAGCCACAACCCGTCTGTACAGCGCATATCTTGCTGCTGTCTAACAGACGCAAGCTGGGGATCCTCGCCATAGGCCTGACGGATCCTGGAGGCTAGATCTTTGGCCTCTACCGTTTCAGTTGCCTCTTTTTGGCTGCCCCGCTTATGTTTTACTCTTAAGCCACATACAACTAGTTGACTTTTCCTCTTAACCTCCTGCTCATCGGGCGATGGAGGAATGCGAGAGAGTGGATCAGCCACATTCTTTCGCCCTGGGCGGTATTCCCAGTCAAAGTCAAACTGTTGTAAGATTTCTGACCACCTGGCCTGTCTGCGGCTCAGTTGTGGTTGTGACTTAAGGTAGGTCAACGGACAGTGATCCGTTACCAGTTTGAAGCATGTTCCTTTAAGGTAACATCTCCACAACTGGACAGCATGGACCGAAGCTAAAGCTTCCTGGTCTGTCACGCTGTAGTTCAACTCCGCTGGGAGGAACTTTCGACTCGCATAACAAATAGGGTGATTGTCCCGCATCAGGACCGCCCCCACAGCAGTTTGTGAGGCATCGGCGATGACCTCAAATGGTCTCTCAGGATCTGGCATTTTGAGCAAAGGAGCCGTGGTCAAACACTCCTTGATGTGCTCAAATGTTGACTGACATTTCGACGTCCATTCCCACTTGCCATTCTGTTTGGTCAAGTCTGTCAATGGAGTCGCCATTTTCGAATAGCCCTGAATGAACTTTAGAAAGTAATTTGCCAGTCCGAGGAACTACTGTACGTGCTTCACGCACTGAGGTACAGGCCAGTTCTTCACCTTTTCAATCCCTTCGGGATCTGGGCGAATTCCTTCTTGAGACACGATGTGTCACAGGTAGGAGATCTCCTCCTTATTGAACTGACACTTGTGCATTCGACAGTATAACTTTTGCTGTCGTAACACTTCTAACACCTGCCGAAGGTGTTGTATGTGTTCTTCAGCAGTTCGGCTAAACACCAAGATATCGTCCAAGTAAACTAGGG